CTTCATCCCACCCACTTAGCATGTAGGTTGTAACTAGTTTTATCCCTGGTTATAAAGGGACTTGTCCCAGATATCCCAGTTGTGATCGTGGTTAGAGGGTGACCGTTTACAATAATGCTTCATATCATTTCTGTAGCTTACAGATAAGATCTCAAGATGAAGAGTTTTTCTGATGTCGAGATACACATGATATGAGGGAGGATGAAATAAGAGAAAAGAGATGGGCACATCTGTTGTTTGTACAGCATATTAAGTCTTCATCATGTTCAATCTAATAATTTTTCATCGGAATTGTCCTATTGGCGATCGTGCAAACAGGATATATATATATATATCTATAAATTATATATATGTATATATTTATATGGCTGTGGCTCACAAAACCGGTACCAAAATGGATCCCTGGTAAGTGGAAACATGGACTAAAACCTGCGTAACCCCTCCTGTTTAATTCTGAGCCACACCCATATATAGAGAGAGAGTGAACGAAACCGATTCTATCTCCCCAGCCCCATAACTATAGTCAGATTGAGATGTCTGTGCCAACTTTGTTTCATTCGCTTACATATGTCCTCGCTATGACAAACGTTTGGCCCCAATTCCCTTTGGACGATTCAAGGGGATCCACTCGGGTCCCTCGGCGAGCAATCTCATTCACAAGACCTGGTTGAAATTTGGGAAGGGTGGCGGACAGTGTCTGAGTCACAAACGGGGAAATGCAGAGTCTGAGTCAAGGAACTCCAAGAACCCAAGAAACAAAACAGCTTTGAAGACCAAACAAACACAGACCCTGTTGGGCTTGGAGTTCAAAGCATTCGATCCAGAAATTCAGAACCCCATTGCCCCTCGAAAAGCAACTTGGGCTCGCAGATTGGCTGAGTGATGTGAAATGGGATGCCATGGTAGTCTCATGGTGACGTGCCCCACGTTTGCTCAGACCCGAAATCGGGTCTTTGGGGTAGCAATCTGGTCAAAGAAAACCAACGGATCCTTAAACCTGCGGGCTTCATCGTTAGGCTTAAAAAGAGCAATCCTGCTTCAAGACAAACTTGTTCATGTGTCCCCAAATGAACGTCGGCTGTTCTCTTGGCTTGCCTTTAAAGCCACTTCAAATTTTTGGACACGGCCCTCTGAACCAAACCATCACCAAACCATGCGCTTGGCGCATCTCGTGCTGGAATTCCGAATTTCGAGCGAGTCCTCGCCGAGCAATGCCACTTGCAGCGTCACACCAAACGAGTACCTTCGGCAGAGAACAAAATCCAGAAGGGAGCGAACCCGTGTGTTTTATTGGTTTCTTTCGGTGGCCAGGCCAAATTCACCGGTTGCTCCGGGGAAATTCGGGATTTTATTTCTGTTTGAAAGATGGGCCCAAGCAAAGCGGATGGATGCATGCCAGCTTCCAAAATCATCCAGACCGGCACTGGTGGTCCCTTCCAGTGGAGAAAGCCATTCATGTTGCGGGGATGCCAAAGCTGTTCGACATGTGGGGATCTCGCAAGACAGTTCAGCTCTCGCAAGCGGCGCACGCATCCGTCTTGAACGGGTTGAACCGCTCGCGCTCTTCTGGCCGAGAGTTTTTCATCACGAACTGCCTCTGTTGACTACAATGTCCTCGCCCCCCCCAAACAGTGCCCTCTTTAGTGGAACATGCGGGCTGGGGAGGGGGGGGGGGGTTGGGTTGGACGCCCCACAAACCGCTACAATTCACCACGAAATCAAATGAATGGCCTTGTATGGGACCATTATGGGGCCCGAGACCACACCATGCGCTTGCTCAAATGACCCAGACATCATTGGCTACCCTTCGGGGGTATGACCGGACATGGGTATCTTTTTCGGAGAACCGCTCTGGGGCTTTGCTTTCCGGTGTGTGACAGGAAGAGTCACCAGTAGAGAGCTTAGAATAAGGGCACCCTTTTTTCTGTAGTCTATTTTAGTAGGGGAACCCTCCCCCAAAAAAGGGTAAACGGGCACCACTGGGGGACCTAGCTTTGTAAGACACGACCCAGATAGGCCGCAACTGGAAATCGACCGATCAGCTTTGGACAAGATTCCAACTGTCTCTGCCTTCATCGTCGGAGCCGTACACGGAGTCGTCCCGCATGGACTGAACTGCCTAAGCCGTCGCATCTGAATTCATGCCGGAAGCCTCTCCCCCCTCTCCCGCTCCATCCAAACATGCCCAAGAAGTGCCAAACAGGGATCCTTACATTATACACCTGAACATTGCCTTGTAAATGGTGGTTTCCCTTTATTTTGCTGGAAAAAACAGGTTTCAAATGGTTGCAAAATGGAGATCTGTTAAGGAGCCCTGCCAAAGGATGGATCAAAGTTCCGGTCCACCCCCCGCGCACCAGCTTCCCAAAACCTGCTCCCCGAGGGGGTTCTAACAGGCCGATTGGGCCAAATCACCTGACTGGTCGCGCGAGGCTCAGATCGCAGAGCTTCACCTGACCCTGGCCGGCCTGAATTTTCGCTGGCTATCGCTTGGAAGCCAAACCGATGGGAGGGAAACTCGTTGAGAAAAGGAAGAGGAGTCTTCTCAGTTTGAAGAACATGGATAAGTCCACGGTGCACAAGTCATTAACCCCCCATACTATTCAAGCAACCTCACATGAGCCATGGTCAAGTTGCTTTTACCCGCAATGGACACATTTTTCTTAGAGCCTTCACGTCCTCTCGTGCTGAACCCCAAATTGGCCACAGACGGGAAACACACTTCTTCGAATGCACCACGATTGCTCCAAACCGCACGCTGACAATCAAAACCGGCAGGGGGTAATCTTCCATAAAACGGACATGCGGTCCTAGGCGAAGGGCACAGCAGCCCCTTTTTCAGACCTCTTTGCAAGTGTCCCTGGATTCTGAACCAAGTCCCAAACTACCCAAAAGTGATGTGTACTTGCCACAGGCCCCCCACAGAAAGTTGCACAGTGGCTTGTTCTGGTTGAGAGGGGACAAGGAAATGTACCACGCAGGCCAAACAGTTACCCTTCCAGCATGGCCATGGAACCTGGCTGCGGGTCCTGATCGTTTTCCTGTAAAAGAGAGCTTCAACCATCGGTTTCCCAGGCTCTGTCCTTTTCAAAGGTACCGCCCAAACTGGCGGTAACTGCTTTTCGGCTCTTCGGTTTCCCAGTTTCCCTTGGCCGCCCAAGAAAGGGGGCGCCAACTCCCAAGCAAACGGAGCCCATGTGGATCAGCGGGGTGTTTCTGGAGACCCATATGTATGTGTATATATATATATACACATACATACAGTATTTATATATTTCGCATGCGGTCCGTCTTTTTTTCCCCTCGTTTTGTTTTTTTTGGGGGGGTGGGACCATTCTTTTTTGTGTTTTTAAGGCTGCCCCCCCCCCAAAAAAAAAATGACGCTTTGCAGAACCAACCCAACCGCTTGGACCCTTCCGACCGGACGGCTCTGACAGATCCGGTCCAGCGCAGGGGTTTTCGAGTCGACTCTGAGAGCGTCGCGCTGGCGCCGGTCAGCTCGGGGGACAGGAAGCCCATGGTGCCACACATGGTCATCCTGGCGCTCTATGGAGTTCGAAAGCCTGAGGGAACCTGCCCCAACTCCCCACAAAGGACTCCCTTCATCTCAGCTTCCCAGTTACGGTGATTGGGCTACACCAAAAGTGGGCGTCTGGGCTTTTCGGAAGCAAGTCTGGCAAAGTCGCTGGGCCACATTGAGATGACATCTAGTGAATTGCACGGTTCCAAAGTAGCTCCTCAGAACCCAGAGTGGACGATACCTTGAGTTGGGTTTCGATCTACTCGGGTTTGCACAGCCGGAGCAAGCCTGTCCACGCGGGCAGGTTGGACGCATTTGGTTTTTAACTAGCATTTGTGTGTTTATACAAAACACTTTGCTTTTTATTACCTTAAAACGAAACAATGTATATGTTTATATCATGAAGCCCAATCCGTTTGGTTTTGAACACAAGCTAGCCGGCCGCGGGTGCCAACAAGCCAAGGCACACCCAACCCCACCGACTGGCTGCTGAACGAGAGATAGCTCATGCCGGAGGGTAAGACGCAAAAACCAAACCCTTCAAGCTACCAAAGGTCTAACTCACAAAACAAGCATCCCCCGCCGAAACAAGCATCCCCCGCCGATGCGGGAAACACAAGAAATATATGTTACCTCTTAAGGTTCTCAAAATAGTGGTTCCCTACAATGGCTGGCCCTGAGATGTGCGCGGCATGGGACTTTGGTGAACCGCCATGTCATGTCCTAATTTGGATCTCCTTTGCCCAATGTGTTTCCCAATACCAGGCACTGTTGCTCAAATATCTCACAACTCGCAATGAATTCATTCACACACCGCGACAGGTAGCCAACAAATCCTGCCCTTTTGGTTTGCCATAGAGTATGCGTTTGGGCTCGAATTCCAGGCTGAGAGCCTCTGGCCCAAGACTCAAACAAATCCCCAAAAAGCCAACCACAGGACGTCTCTTCCGGCGCTGGGCTGGGCCAAGCCTCAGGCCCCCAGAGCCCCCAGGGCCCCCGAAGCCCCGCCTCTCTGCGGATGTCACCACCTGTCGGCTTGCCAGAAAGCGAGCTGCCGGCCCCGGAGGGAAAACAACCGCCGCCCAGGGTGCCTGCGACTCTTTAGGCGGGTGTCTGCAACTGACGAGATCCGTGGCCGAAATCAGGCACCCCAAGTACTGACCGGCCCAAGACTCGGCCGTGCGTCAAGCGTCAAGCCTGTTTACGCCTTACACCTGGCCTTGCTGCTTGAGGCGTCGGCTTGAGGCGGGTTTGGGCCCCGATCCGCGTAGCCCAAAATCCCACGACGGGTTCCTTTCAAGATCCGAAGGATTCCCAGAACCCCTTGTAAGGCTGTTGACACAAAAGGTCGACCCACATTTATTTTACCCCCTTAGGTTTTACAGTAGAGAGCTTAGAATAAGGGTACCAGACTTTTGTTTTCTGTAGTCTATTTTAGTAGGGGAACCCTCCCCCACACCCCTTTAGCTGGGGGACCAAGTTAAGGTCGCAGGCGATTCCTCCCCAGCACCCAACAACTTCCGACGCCCGCCAAACTTCTCCTCGCACCTTGGCAAGCCCGAAGTCGGTGAGCTTGGCCTCGTCGCAGGTGTTGATGAGGATGTTCTCCGGCTTCACGTCCCGATACCTCTAACTCGCAATGCACTCGAAACGGACGCGCCAGCCAAACGCTCAACGCGCGAAACGGACGCGCCAAACGCTCAGTGGCTCGCTCCCTTCTTGAGGGGACTGGCCCAAAAAAGTTCCACACTTGGTACTTTGCCACTGACATGGGTCGTCCCAAGAAGTTTGAAGTGCATGAACTCGGGGAGTGAGTTTGCCGCCTTTATGTGTGGAATAAACCTCTTTGGCGGGGGAACTGGGGACAGGAGGAAACCAATCAGCCGAGGTTTGAGAAACACCCAGGGTTGAAGGGTGGTGTTAACGGATGAAGGCCATGGGGTCTTCTTTGAGCGGAAATGAAGGAAGCTTCCAAAGGTCCGGATGGGTGTTTGTGAGCCCCAAGCTTCCAGGAATAGAGCCCAAAAATTGGGTTGCTAGAATGAAGGAGCTCTTCTTGAAACCGCTAAATGCTTGGTTGCCATTGACCCCTCCGCAAAAAGTTTAACTCTTTGTTGCCATCAAGCATGGCACAAACCCCAAAAAAAGGCCCCACAATAGATTGGCGGGCGATGCCGTCTGAGTGGAAGGCACGGGGCTGGGCCCTGGGGCGGGCGGTTCACCCACACACAAATGGACAAACCTGAGGGATTTTTGTGCTTTTGACAAGGGGATGGAGCGGGGGCCTGGTTTTTCCAGGTGGCACCGCGTAAGTTCCACTTGCCGGCATAGACAACATTGGCTTGTGCCGAATCGGGGCTGAGAGCCCCCCACACGATGTCGCTCTCGTGGAGGTACGCCAAAGCCAGCATAACCTGCACGCGTTCTTTGCTAGGCCGAAATCGGGTGCAGCGCACCTTCAATCGTAGCAAATAAAGCCCAACGGACGTTGAGTGATCTTAGAGCCATGGCCCAAATCGGACCCTAAAACCCAGGACAGGAACAGCCACATTAGCCTGGTGCCGCTCCGAGTTCAATTGACCCTCTACGTCGTAAGAGCACGAAAGTCAGCTCGCGGAGCCAATCTCCTTTCGGTCGACACGGTCCTGCAGGTGGCTGGAATAAGGGTACCCGATTTTTGTTTCTTCTGTAGTCTATTTTAGTAGGGGAACCCTCCCCCAAAAAAGGGTAAAAGGGCACTACTGGGGGACCTAGAAGGAAAAAGGGTCAAACACTGATGCCCCACGAAATTGGCAGGCATTCTTTTCTGGCACCAGGCAGTTCTTTGGCTTGAATCTGCCCAAGGATACAGAAACAAATGGTGAAACCCACCTGAACCTCACCAAAACAGGGGAGGAGAAAAGGTTGAAAGGTTGGCTTTGGCTGGGTGACATTCTTCTCGCAGGGTTCACCATATATAGAACAAATAATTTGGATAACACGTCTAATTTGCTTGTGTAAGAAAGGCAAGGCAACAGGTGAACCCTGTCAGAAGAATCTCACCCGTCCAAAGCTGACCTTTCAACCTCTTTCTCTCCCCTGTTTTTGGCGAGGTTCCATACAAATATATGCATAAATGTATACGTATATATATATAAATACATATATATATATATATATATGTATATATGTGCCTATACCACCCCCCCCCCCTAGTCGCCGATGGGTCCTGCCTCGCCCATGTACTTGGCCGCCCGCGCCGGCTCGAGGCCCAGGTGCCTGCCGCCCTCCCCCAGATCTTCGCACAACCTCAGATCCGTCGACTCACCGCGCTCCAAGTGATGCTTTGGAGGCACGGAGTGGTTTGGAGTGCTTGGTGGTTTGGTGCCATCCCTCAGTTGGTGGTTTGGAGCCGCTGCACTAGCTCCTCCAGTGGAGAGGTTAGAATAAGGGTGCCCCTTTTTTCCGGTAGTCTATTTTAGTAGGGGAACCCTCCCAACCAAAAAAGGGGTGAGCAAGGGCAATACTGGGGGGACCTAGTCCAATTGGTGCTTTGATTTCCTGGAGTGGTTTGGAGTGCTCGGTGGTTTGGTGGAACGGAGGGTTTCCCATTCACCCTCGACAAAAAAAAAACACAAAACAAAAGGCGCTTGTATACTTCCCAAACGAATCCAAACCGCCGATGAAGGGGAACCTGAGATGCGATCAGAACGGGATGCCTTAGGTCCCTGGTTGACAATGCAAGTTGGTCGCTGGGAAACTGAAGGAGCCGAATCGGGCGAACCACGGATTCAAAACCCCTGGTTGATTAATTGGGGGTCCCTTTTTAGTGAGGATTCATCGTGTTGCCAAAGCCTCCCCTTTGTTGTGGGAAGTCAGCCAGTCGGCAAAAGCGAGTTTGCGAGTGGGTCCAGTTCTGACCCAGAAATCAGACTGTGCGCGCCGCAGGTCCGGCGAGACCATTTCCGGGCCACTGAAAGAGGTGGTTCCAAGTCTTAATCATAGCCAAAGGCCGAAACCAACGAAAGCCGCTTGCCAACTCAACGTTTGGAAGCTACGTTAAAAAAAAAAAAAAAAAACATTAACGGCTGGTGGCCTTCAAACTGGAGACCATCTCGACTTCTTTGTTTTCTTTTTCTCGCAGGTGCAACTATGGGTATGTCTCAAAAGTAAGGAGACCCACAAAATGGTTGGTCTTCCTTTTGCTACCTTGAGCCAGCAACCCCCCGAGACGTTGGCACTCATTCCCTCGCGTCAGGAAACACACGCAAAAGCAAAAAAAGAAACCGGGAACACTCATCACAACCACCCACACAACAAGTCAGGTCTCTTTAGACTGGCTGGGCTGTCCGCAGATCCCCTGCTTCTTGTTTGCCTTTTCGTGGGTTGAATGGAACCCCAACCACTAACCCCCCTAAAACCCAACAACCACCGATTCGCTTTGACAGCAACCCAACAAAGGCTACTTTGTAAATCCCCAGCTGAAAGCTATAGGCCTCTGCCCTGGGGGTCGGCTTGGGGCAGTTTGCAGGTTATCTATTATTTTTTTTGGGGGGGAGGCTGAACCTCCATTTGCTTCTTTGCCTGGCAAACATGGCACATTATTTCCAGTAGTGATAGACTCCCTTTAAGACCGGAGGAACATCAACAAATCCCTGCATAACATCAGAAAACAGAAACACCACCCCGGGAAAACATAACATAATATCTCGTTAAAACCCACAACTAAAAAACTTGCTGGTGCGATCAGTAGGGAATGAGGGAACGAACCCAAGAGAAACCACAAGAAAATGGTTTGCCCTTGGGTTCATTCCCCCATTGCCTGCTGAGCAGCAGCAAGAAAAGACACTTGGCTATAGGTCAAAACCCCGGTGCCCCAGAAAGCCTTCTAAAAAGACAACAGTGGAGTGGTAACCATCCACAAACAGGCACCTTAGGTTTTGACCCACAACCATTTCAGCACATAAGTCACAATCAAAACCCGGTACACAAATGGTCGACCCAGAACCATGTAAAGAACTAAGAAGGCGGAATTCCGCAACTATTTATGGCTGGGATCGTCCCTTACAAATCTTCACTTACCCGAATTGGTTTTGAGCAAGTGGCTCACACAGGAGAATGGAAGGACACCGTCCTTCAACTCTCGATTCGGTCTTCCGGGTCTCCGATTCGGTCTCCGGGTCTCCGGGCAGGCGGTTGAGATCTGTGGGGCATAGCTCCAAGAGCAAGGCCAAGTACTTGTCGAAGGCGAAGCTCGCGGAGAGGCGGAAGAAGAAAAAAAAATCCCCGCGGGGCGCGGAGTGGAAGTCCAGTGGCTTTTTTGTTTCCTGGGGAAAGCGGCGAAATCTGCTCTGCTAGTGGCTAACTTTTAGTGGTCCAATGGAAAACCCATTAGTTGGCACCCAAAATGGAACCTGGTAAATGGAGACCAAGACAAAAATCCGCGAAATTTTAGCTCTTCAATTTTGAGCCACACCCATTTGCTTTTGCGCCCCCTGGATTTTTTTTTTACATACTGTGGATGGACGAAATCCGTTCGCACCACTTCGAAAGCATGGGACACCCATTGTTTGCTGGATTTACGGGGGAACCAGTATTGCAGGGTTTCCTTGGTGGTGCAGGATTTCGTCCATCCACTGTATTTCCAGTAGTGATAGATTCCCTTTTAAACCAAGAGGGGGAAATGACACATATTCTTATAAGCAAATGGAAGGTTGCAGGATGCATCCCTTCCATTCCTTTTTTTTGTGACGAAACCGCCAAAACTGGCAATCAAAACCGATCGGTACAAACATGCTATTCCCAAAACTATGTAAACGTATATTTCTTAAGAGTTGCCAAGGTGGATATCCGAACCTTCTTTCTGGGACTGCCCCTTACTAGCCTCAATCTACCCGGGCTTTGATTGTGGCTCAAGTGGGGATTTTGGACACTGTCGGGGTTTTCATCCCTTGCTTTGTTGAGAACGAGTGGATGGCCCAAAACAAAGAACATCCCCAAGCCTTTGCCACTGAACTGGCCCAAACCCCAAAAAGTGACTAAAGTCCAGGGATCCAGGCCGCAAGTTCCATTTGAAGGTTTTTTTGTAAGGTCCCTGACGGAGGAGAAACCTGGCAGCAAAAAGATTCACTGGAAAATCGGCTTTCCGAAACAAACAACCCCCAAAATCACACGGGTTCTCCTTGATGGATGCGGGATGATGCGGGTGCTATATACACTTCGCCAAGCTGGCAATGGAACCAGATAGAAGCCTTTCCCGTGATCAACCACGGCCACTTCCTACCCTCACCGGTTGGAAGACTCTTTTGTATGGCCATGAAACAGAAGCACTGTGCGGGTGTGTTTTCCAAACGGAGGATATCAAAACCCGCGAACCTTTCGGAGAATGCACATGGCTTCGCTGTCCGTGAAACATCTTCCGCACTTTGGGAGATTGTACGACTGGAGCCTCCAGATTAATCCTGGAACACCGGCACTGCGTTTTTGGCTGGATGACATTCTTTTTGGGTGACCCCACTCTTTGCGTTCCATGTAATTTTGCAGAGCAGCATATGCAGAAATGGCTAGGTCTCGGCGGAGGACACAACTCTTTTGCGTAAGGGCAGCCATTTGGTAACTGAGAAAAAAAACACGGACCCCCTGACCAACCCAAGGCAACATGGAGCCATTTGCAAGTGCGGTTCTCGTAAACGCATGTCCCCTCCCACATCATCATCACCCGCAAAAACAAAGCACAACAAGCGGGGACTTGGACATGCAGGGGCAAAATGGTTTCCACTCCCAAACTGCTACCCCTGCGGAGAAATGGAGCATGATTGGAAGATGGCGCCCCATTTCAGTCACCTATTGAAGTGGTCTACCCCCCAAAAACCGGCAGATCTTTTGCAACCACCCAAAACCGGGGGGGAGGGGGGGGGGGTTCCCTCCCAAAAACGAGCCCCACGACGGTCCAGGTCAGTTTCGTTTCGAGGCACGCCCGGTGCAGGTGGACGATGAAGGGATGCTCGGCTCGCTGCAGCGCTAAGACCTGAAGGGGGGGGGGGGCATGGGAACGGGGGGGGGGGGGCATGGCCCATTTTGAAGCCCTTAACAAGGCCTTCCTAAGGCCTTGATCCAAGGGATAAATACTGCATACTGATGCACGAAATCCCGTTCGTAGCACTTTGAAACCATGGGACATCATATTGTTTGCTTGGTATTTACAGGGGAACCATGATTCCAAAGGTTTGTTGGGTGGCAGGATTTCGTCTATCCACAATATGTCTAAGTAGAACCGCTCTCATTTGTAGGGCCACTATGATCACCATTTACTCATTCTCATCTTGTTGGGCTCATGGCACTCCAAGAGCCCAAGAATGGCCAAGCCTTACAGTTGCTCGGTCCTCCTGTCGAGAGCTTAGAATAAGAGTGCCAACTTTTCTTTTCTGTAGTCTATTTAAGTAGGGGAACCGAATCTCCAAAAAAGAAACGGTGAGAACGGGCGACGAAGCCCGCGCTTCGGGGTGAGGCAAACCCGAAACGTGCATATGAATAGGCTGATTGTATGGATGAACCCATGGACTTTCTGAGCCCTTGGGGCTGATTTCCCATAAAGCCAGAACTAACGGTGATTTCTTTTTTGAAAAAAAAATGATTTGTGTCCAGCCCATTTTGAAGTTCAGTTGTCTGATTGGTGGTTTTGGGTTGATGGCTTGGTAGTTAAGGCATGGGTTTCCCATTCTCTACAAAAGCCAGGGCTTCAAATCCTCAAACCGGTTAACCACCGATCAAGGGTTTTCCTGATATTCAGCCCAAAGAAATCCCAGAAACAGCTCGCCAACTTAAACACACCATGTTCCCACCATAGGTCTTTGGAAGCCCTTGCATTGTTCCTTCATGTTTTTATTTTTTCTAGCGTGGGTCTTTGGAAGTCCTTGCATTTTTCCACCATCAAGTTCTCTCCTATTTTGCAGTGGGTCTGGTACACACGACGTTGGCGGAAACATGCAAGGGCCTTCACCATGTTTTTATTCTTTAACATGGGTCTTCCGAAGCCCTTGGATTGCTCTTCACCATGTCCTCTGTTCTTTCTTCTTCACAATGTCACACCCTGGGTCCTTCTTTTTTTCTTCACCACGTTTTTTTCCTTTAGGAAAAGCAAAAAGCAAAACAACAAGAGCCAAGTCTTTGGAGGCCCCCAAGGGCCCTTGGGCCGCTCCCCGACTCGCTGGATGGATCCACCGCTCCGGCCTCCGAGGAGGCCTGGCGGTGGCTCTGCTGCAGCTGGAGCTTCAGGGCGAACCTCGCAACGATCCAGAGGATGGGGCCATCGCTTGGGGCGGGCGGCGGGTGGGTTTTCCGGCGCGGGGAAAATGGGGGGAAACGCGCCTTGGTGTCTTCTAGGGCAAAACAAAATGGGGAGGGGGGGAGGGAGGGAGGGGTAGGAAGGGGGAGGGAAAACGGGGCACTAACTGCATACCAGAGCTAGGGGAAACAGAACAGAGTAGAGCTTGTATTTTCCAGGACACCTAACGGAGGGGGGGGGGGAAACGGGTACACCCAACTGTATACCGGAATAGAGCTGGCAAAATATGGGGCATTTAGCTAGACCCTTTTGCGGAAACCCTCCAGTCAATATAATTTGCGGGTATGGAAGGTCCCCTCACCGACGAAGGATAACCAATGGGGCAACGGTCATCTATAGCCACTAATACTTTGGGGGGTTCTGCAACAAATATAATCGTGCAATATATCGGAGAGTTGTTCTAGGGTCACTGGCAATGCATGAGGCAGGTAACCACCCTTTGGGTTGCTGCGCTTGAGAAAGGATGGGTAAGCAAAGGGTCAACATGGATTCACTTTGGGCAACTTAGTGATGCATTCGACGTCTGCACGCTGAAGTGGCACCCAAGCGCTAGTGCCAAATAATTCAGAAAAGAGCCCTGAAAGGTCGCGGGCTTTTCCTGGCCAGGCGACCTGGGCTTCAACAATGCCTTTGGTGGGTCACGCGCTCGGCTTTAATGGACTCGGCTTGCGGGTCTTGCACAGCACTTTGCGCCGTCACCCTCGCCAGTGCCTTCACCCTGCGCCAGCCCGCTTTCAAAGGCCACGTCCCATCTCCGACTGGGAACCAAAGGTTTGACCTGCGGGTTTGATAAAGCCGTATTTGTTTTCCAAACAAAGGGAAACAAAGACCAGCCGTGAGTGGAGCAACACCTGTATTAGTCAGGACAAGTGAAAGTCGTGCGGATCGAAAGATCACTTCCGAACGAGTGGGGCCAAACACAAGTCCAAACTTTTGCTGTGCCACTACCCTCCCACCAACTAACCTGGAACCTGACGCTCAGGGGTACTGGTGTGGCCATGTCTTTCCTTTCAAAGGGACTGGGTCCGGAACGTCAGGTTCCACGTTACCTGGTGGGAGGGTAAAATCGTCTAAACCCAAAAGTTGCAAGTCGAGGAGCTCAGGCCGTGAGTCAGGGCAACTGAGTCACAATCAAAACCTGGCATTCACGGTAGGTCTACCCAAACTATTGCAAAGAACTGCAAAGGCGGCCTCAGCATTTTTTCTGCTTGGGACTTGGGACTGTCCCGTACTGCTTTTTGGCTGCCCCTGTGCTTTTCCATTGCTAGGGATTTGTTTTTGCATGATCATTTAAACTGTTTCACGCAGCCGGGCGTTGCCCTCGGACAGCAGAGAGACTGTCCCTTACTAATGTTTACCCCGGATTCATAAGCCCCTGGTTGGTTAATAGGGGGGTGTCCCCTTTTAGTGGGGACTACATCACTTTTGGAGGGAAACCCCCCTAATAATGGGACGGGTTTATTAATCCTGGGTCAACAGTAAGATTCACTTACCCGGGTTTTGACTATTCTAGGCTATCTAGGGCTACCTTCCATTTCCATTCTTGCCAGGGATCGGACTTCTAGAAAACCTCCGGGAAACCCAGAAAAAACGGATCCGGTTCTTGGAAAGAACGGGTTGAAAAGAATGGAAAAGGAATCAAGCCCTAGAATGCTTTCTTCTGCTTCATATGGCTGTGGGTCAAAAATAGGTACCCCAAGGAAAATCAACCCCTGAACCATGGCGTTTTTTCCGGCCCATCCACGCCGGCGTCGATGGGCGATGGCCTCTGGGGTATCTGTTGGCGCCGCCAAATGCTGCTGGCAGCATCTCGGGGCAGCTCCACCTATGCCGCGAGCGAATGGAGCGGCTCCGGGAAAAAAACAACGGG